AGAAAGGAATAAAAAATGGGCAGCAGACCTAGACATTTCTCAAAAGCCGATTTCTGGAGAGTACACTCGAAGTAGTCTCTGGAGATTGGCCCTTGGCACTGCTGGGAAACAGCAGGACTTCACAAGGTGGGGCCTGGCTGCAGGAGGTCAGGTCATTGGGAGATGAACTTGCAGGGGACATGACCCCTCTCTCTCTGGCCTTGACTCCCTGTTGCCATGAGCTAAGTTGTTTTGTTTAGTTGTGCCAGAGACCGAACCTCTGTACCAAGCTACATTCTCTTTTTTAATATTTTATTTTTAAGATAGGGTCTTACTAAGTCACTAAGTTTCCTAGGCTAGACTTCAACTTGTGAACCTCCTGCCTCAGCCTCTCAGAGTGCTGGGATTATGGGCATGTACCACCACACCTAGCTGGAGTGAGGAAGTTTGCCACCATGCACTGGCTGCCACAGCACAGAAGGGATGCAGCCAAGGGACCATGGACTAAAACTTCCTGAAACTGTGAACCTAAATACACCCCCTCGCCATTGTGTGTATGATTTTTCCATTTGGCTGGGGGCCAAACCTTTCCTTTTTCTTAGGTTTTAAATATCTAATGAACAAAAATCAATGTATAGTATTGAATATGGGCTTGATCTCTTGACATGTGGTGAACATGGGAAAAAATACAAATGAAATGTGATAACATTAAAGGTTGTTTGGCAAAAAAATATTCATGAATTTTATGATCTGAGGACAAACAAAGCAAACTATCTCTACAGAGAAATTAAGCTAGACCCTCACTCTCCTCTGCCCCAATATCAGCTACTGACACAGAGCAAGGTCCAGCACCTTGCTCTGTCTTAAACAAATGATGATTTTACTTTCAGATTTTCAAGGCCACAGTATTCAAGAGACCACAAACAGGACAAGTGGCATTAACAGCAACAACCTCAGCAACAAAAATAGCTTACATTTCTTGATTCTCTATTTAATCAGTATTTTCTGAGCATTCACTTTGTTTGAAATACTATGCTGAACACTAGTATTCTTAGGGCAGAGCCAACATCATCAAATTTCTTAGCAAGATTATGGTTTTTCATTATTTTATATTCACAACTGGGTTAGGACAGAAGACACAAATCCAGACAATGCAAAGTTTTAAATTCTAGACCAAGCTTTCCAGAGCCATCAGCTCTATTCCACTCTTGAAAGGAAGGGCACTGAGGTTGACAATATGATCAACAGAGTTGTGACTCCTTCCCCAGTGTGCGCTTCTTAGCATTCCTTTTAGCAAATTCCCTTTGCATTTAACTTGCTTTGCAATTTACAAAAAAACATTTAGATGTCACATCTTGGGCTCCATGCTGCTGCATAAAGCAAGGCATTCTCCAAGGAGACAGTAGTCTTTTTCGGAACATTAACATATTCAAAAAGAAATGGACATGTCCAGGCAAAACTTTCTAGATAATTGCATCCTCAGAAGGAAAGTTTTAAAGTGTATTTTTAGCACTCCAAGCTCTTTTTATCAGCCAAATGACTCCTAAAAACAGTTCATTAGCATCATTGAAGGTCTTGGGGCCAGGAGGAAGTCTGCAGCAGCATTTGTATCTGCTACATATAAGTGGTTCTCTCCTCTTTCTTCTCTCTCATCTTACTGATGATAATTTCTGTGGAACTAAGCCTCCGTTACTGCTTTCAAAAATGCATTAATAAATTACATTCTTTCATGGAGCAAGTTGGTAGTTTTGTTTTAAGAGCATTTTTTTAAATTTTGAAAATATCTACTTTACAGTTTATACAGTGGACAGTCCAAGTAGCTAACTGTGGGTCTCTGGTATTCCCATAAATTTGACAAATTCTTCTTAGCCCACCAAAGCATTTTTCTAGTATATATAAGGATAAAAACTAATTTTGTCCTCTAAATGAGAAACAATCTGGTTAGTTAACCTACATCTTACTACTTAGATGTCTGCCATCTTTATACAGGGTTTCATTTCAATATGAAAAAGTGTAATTTTATTAGCACTATCAAATTCTGCCAAAACAGATGAAATTATTTATATTACTCTGTATTATTAAAGATACGGAAAAGTACTTATATTATTCTTTCTCAGACTGAGGGGAATAAGAAAGAAGAAATTAAAAATCATAGTAACATGATTTAAAATATAGTTTTTAAAGACTTCAAGTTAGGAATCTAAAAAAATGTTAGAACTATTTAAAAATTTCAGAGTGATTATTTATATGTGGCTACTTTGATGTTTTTATATTTAGTAATACTAAAGTACTCCAAAATATTTAAAATAAATGTCTAATGCAAAACAGTAAGGCTACATATCAAAATGTATGCTAAAAACTCGTTCTTGTATTTGTGTACATTATATAGCTATGTTTGCATTTACTACTGAAGACTTTAATATACCTCAGAAATTTTATTAAAATGAATTAGCTTTTAATAAATGAGAAAACAGAGATTTATGGCTGTTTAAAATATTTTGAATTCAACGTGATTCTCAAGCTATTAGTTCTTGAAGTCTGTTTCACTCAGGCATGGAAAGTACTTAAATCCATGAGTTTATCAAAGTTAGTGCAAAACCATTGCTAATTATAGTAAATTTATCTTTTGGAAAAATGTCTTGGAAGACAGAGTACTGAGAGATTGTTATGAAGATGTGTGAGGAAAAAGGAGTGAAAAAATTAAACACTTTAAAATAAGAAATAAATTAATAGTTCCAACATCAAATATGTACTGATAGTCAATATTTAATATTAAATATATGCTTTTCCTAAGTCTGAACGTGAGTACGACGTCCTAGCTCATTTAAATATTGTGATTCTTTGAAAAAATATTTTAAAGTATTCACACTAAATTGATTCTGGCATAAGGCTGGTAAGAGATTCTATAAAAGCAACTAAAAGGCTAAAAGGACCAGAGTTATTCACAAAAATGGACTCAAAACAAGCCCAGAGACTCATGTTTTAATTTTGACTCTAGCTAGTCAAGATATCACCTGTGCAGGGAGGACCTACCATTACTGAATTGTAAAATGAACCAGACATTGTACACAGTTCATAATGTGACCCTTAAAAATACCCATTTTCTAAGAACACATATAAACTGTGCACATCAGTGGGACTCACTAAGATGTATCCACACGTCCATAGAGTATGCACTGACCATGTCCAGCTCCCTTTCTTCTGACCGCACCCCTACCTCTTGCTGGCACTCTTCTCAGGCCCAGTAATCACTGTTCTATTTTAAGGCCACCTTTTTTTTTTCTATTTTCACATATGCAAGGTATTATACAATACTTTCCTTTCAGTGTCTGGCTTACTTTACTTAACATGATGTCTTCTACTTTCATCCACTTTGTTGCAAATATCAGGATTTCATTCTTTATGACTGAATCATACTGCATTGCAGACAGGTAGCACAATTTCTTTACCCACGTATCTGTTGATGGGCACCTAGACTGCTTTTGAATCTCTGCTATTGTTAATACTGCAATAAATATGAGTATGCATATATCTCTTTTGTATGCTGCCTGTGGGGAGACTCTGGCCAAAGGAGTTTTGAAGTGAATGTGAAACAGGAAGAGACTTTCTGGGTAACAGTTCAGGACTCCTGGAAGGCATGGTTAGAGTTTAGAGCAGACTGGCAACAGTCAGCAGAAGCCGACAAAGCAGTTTATTCTTAGATATGTTTGCTTTGGCCATTGTATCCCCTCTGCCCCATAAGATTGCTTAAACTAGGTCAATGTGTGCCATGTAACAAACCATCCCCTTCCAGCCCTGTTCCCTGTCAAAAATTCCTATAACAGTATGTTGAAATGCTTTCTTCTGTGTGTTTGTTCTCATGTCCTTGAGCTACAAACAAATATCCACAGAGGTCTCAGCTTGCTGCTGTTGCCCTGAAGTTCTCTCATGCTGAAGTAGCAGCCCCTCTGGGTCCTCTCGGTGACTAAACTAAAGACTCATCTCTGAGTAATCCTTCTCATCCTCTACGCAGCCACAGTTACACACTGCAGCACTGACCTCATTTCCTTTGCATATTCTAGGAATGACCTTTAGAATATCATTATGACAAACAGTATTAATTCCCCCACTTCACAGACTAAATAACTAAGGATTAAGAATTAAATTGATGGCATCTGCTGGGCTCTACAATCCATGCTGTCTTCATTTTAGTATATTGAGTTTGAATAAATAGCATTGCTTAAACTGAACTAGTATTTGTTGAGGCTATTCTGACAATTTTCTTCAAGAGTGGACAGCAAATAGTTGGTATAAAATACAGAGAATGCAAAGGAAAGGGTAAAACACTAACAAAATTATAGCAGTTACATATATTTTCATCTGGAGAAAGAAATCTAAATAGGTCAGCTATTTTTCAAAAGTGATAGATAACATCGGGCCACTGATTTAGGAAGCACTAAAATATTCAAGGAAGAAAAATAGAAAGAAAACCATACATAGGCAGTAAATCCAAAAACTAAGGAAAATGTAAAAAATCAGCTTTAGAGATAAAGAAACATTGTTTTTCAGAGCATGGTAATATGACTGGCAAGTTGATTTCATTAATGGAAGTCAAAAGGCAAAGGAGTCACATTTTTAACACACTGAAAGAAAACATTCTACTAAAATAACCTAAAAATGAAGATAAAAATAAAGATATTCTAAAACAAGTGAAACCAGAACTATTTTTAGTAGACCCAAAGATGAGGGAATTCTACAAACAAAAGGGAAGTGATTCCTCATAAAAACTTGAATATATAGAAACAAACAAGAGCACTTGAAAAAGTGGATAAAAAATTAATCTCGACTGCTTTGGAAGGAATGTTTAAAGTATATGTAGAATTAAAACACAACAACAATAACACAAGGGTTTGCAAGGAATAGTAAACGCAACTAAAATGATACAAGATTCTAGTATTGTGCTAGGACATGTATGTTAGTCATGTTAGTTCTATCACTACAACAAGACCTGGGATAATCTGCTTAAAAGTTGAAAGACTTACATAGGCTCATGGTTTCAGAGGATTCAGTCCATGACTGTGCGGCCCTTCTGTGGTACAGTTCAGGGTGGCAGGGGCACATGGCAGAAGAGGCCTGATAACTTCACAGTGGTCAGGGAACAAAGAGAGGGAGGACTGACTTCCAATATCCCCTGGAAGGCAACTCCCTCAGCAATCTAATGTCCTCCTCTATGCCTCAACTCCTCAAGTTCTACAGCTCCCAATGGCTCCATGGACTGGGGGCAAACCTTCAACACATGAGCTTCTGGGCACAATCAAGATCTAATCTCAGCACTATGCAAAACAAATTATACTAGGCTATAATAAATAAAATATAAATGCTATAATTTTTGTTTAAACACCAAAAGAACAGTAAAGGAATGTTTACAAAAGCAGCTAATTGAAGACAGATGTGGAATATTAAAAATTTAGTAACTGAAAAAAGTAGAGAAAAAACAATACAAATAGGAAAAGAATAAAATAGTAGATATATTCCTAACCATAACACTATTGTGGATTGTGTAGGGGACCACCCTATTGATTATGCCCAAAGCAGGCTGTAAGCAGAGCAGGCTGTAAAGAGTTATCCCCTCAATTGCCTCATTTTAAGAAGCGAGTCTGACTAAAGCTTATGTGACTCATGGAAGCACCTCATAAGCACCGTGGTAGCATTCAGGTTAGCCTGACCTTCCCATAAATGGCCACAGCAGAGAGAAATGGCCTGTGAAGCTGTGTGGCTCAATAGGAAATAATATAGTAGCTGAGGTTGGAGTAACTCACACTCAAATTCCATTCCCACAACTGAAACCTTCTTAACTAGAAGGACAAGGTTCTAATTACAACTCTATATTTTGTCTGTTTTGTTCCTAATTTGAGAATGCTTTGTCTTTTCCTTTACAAGCCTTGCCTGCCTTAGTATCCATAGCAACTGTATGACTCTATGTCCTCACATGTAGTTCCCCTTTAGCACATAGTTCCTCTTTCACCCGATTATCAATAAAAATCAGTGGCTTGGACTGATCAGGGGCTTTGCTGGATGAGCAGCACTGGCCATCCTGGCTCCCTTCTTCTTTCTCTAATTCTGTCTTTGAGTCTTTCTTCAGCCCTGCATCATATACTTGGCAGGAGACAGGAACCTACTGGAGAGGTCTCCAGTAGATTGAAATGTGTCCCCAAAAAGAGTATGTCCAAAGCCCTAGTACCTGTGAATATAATCTTACTTGGAAACAGTATCACTGCAAATATGAACAAGAGGAGATCATACTGGATTAGTGTGGACCTTAATCCAATAATAAGTATTTTTATAGAAAGAGATAAATTTGGACACAGACAGCAGGAAAAATACCACGTAAAGACAGAACAAAGACTGCAGTGAAATGTCATCAAGCCAAGGAGCACTAAAGATCTCTGGTGACTATCATCAGTTAGGAAAGATGTGGGACAGATCTTCCCTCAGATCTCAGGAGGGAAACCATCTTGCTGACATGTGGACTTCAGATGGCAAGCTTACAATGAAAGAACAATGTCCCTGCTGCTTTTAGGTATGTATTTGTGCTTTGTTACAGTATCCCTGTGAAGCTAATATGACTATATTAAATGGGCATTGGTTACATATTTGAATTCAGAGTGGTCATCATGCTAAGTAAAATTTAAAAATCAACATTATACTGCTTAGAAGAGATACAGCTTAAATATTAAGATGCAGAAAAGTTTAAAAAGAGAGAATAAAGGTGCACCAAGCAAACACTAAAGAAAACAAAGCAAGTATAACTATAGTAATATTGTACAAGCTAGAAGTTCAAAAAAAGAACCATTACCTTAAAAAGAGACTGGAATCGGGCTGGGGATTTAGCTCAGTGGTTTTGCTGCCTGCTGCACAAGCGCAAGGGCCTGAGTTCGATCCCTGGTACCAAAAATAAAGAGACTGGAACAAGATTAAAAGCTTACACGGAGAAGATTATAACAATTCTAAAGTTGCAGCTAAGTAATATATAATTTATAAATACGTAAAGATAAAATTGAGAAAACTAAGATGAGGAAAAATAATTATTGTGGAAGATTTTAACTAGTTACAAAACAAACATTTTTAAAACTGTTACCTGTCCAGATGATATGAGCAGCGCAATAAGCAAAGAACTTGGTGACAAATGCTATGTATGCAGCAATGACAGAACTCACTTTCTTTTCAAGTGATTATGGAATATTTGTCTGTTCCTAAACCATAAGATTTTGCTAGGTCATAAAGCAAGTCTGAACAACTTCACAGAACTGAAATCTTTTAGTCTTTTCCTATCACAATGGAATTAAGTAAGAAATCAAAAGCAAAATAACAATTAGAAACTGAAAGTGTAAATAAAGACTAAAATGTATAATAGATTATGTGAAATAGGAAGAAATTGTTCAAAAGGAAAGGAGAGCTAGGGAGGTGGGAAGGGGAAAGGACGGAGGGGGAAAAATGAGAAAAGAAGGAGAAAATGGAAACAAAGCTTTTTTAAAGAAGGAGGAGTTAAAAGGAGGGGAGGGGAACAGGAAAAAATGAGGAATCAAGATATGTCATGTACAGGTACAAATTTCTTATGATGAATATGATCATTATTATCTAAATTATACCAATAAAAGGAGTTTTTAAAAAGCTTCATGCACAGGAATCAAGCACTACGGTCAAACCACTTGCCAAAGAGACATCACAGGAAATCAGAAAATATTTTTCAAATGGATGATAGTACATGAGAATTTGTTGGATGCACTTTAGGCTATACTTAGAGGAAACACTTATTGTCTTCAACACCTAAACTGAAGATTGAATAACTTCCTAAACATTCATCTCAAGAAATTAGGAAGGAAAAAAAATGAAAGCATTATACAGATAAAGATAAGAATAGAGATAAAATACAAACATACACAACAGAAAAAAAATCAACCTAGCCAAATATCCAATCTTGGAAAGAATAATATCATATTATAAGGTTTCTACACAGACTAATCAGAGAAAAGGACAAATTAACAACATAGCAAATAAATAATACTGCTAGAGATTCATAAGTGTCCCGGCCTGCGGGTAAGTCAACGAAGACCCTAGAGGGGGAGCGAGGATGAGCGGGGACAGGGGACACGAGAGATGGAGACAAGACAGGTCTCTGATCAAGTCTCGTTTATTGCGGAAGCTGCTACAACATATATACTGTAGGGCTAGAGGGGAGGAGCAAGAGGAGTGTACTGGGGCTGCTTCCTTGTTGCCGGGTAGATCTGCCACAAGCCCGGGCATGTCCGTCAGAGGCCTGCAGCAAGCCTGGGCATGTCCGTAGAAGGCACTCAAGAGTTCCAGCGGGGGGACAGGGCCCCCTACACATAAGAATAAAAGAAAATCAGAAGATATCATGAGCAATTTTATGTCAATATATTTTAAAATTTATAAGAAAGGAACAATCTTTGGAAAAACACAAATGACACCAAAAATCCCAGAAAAAGTGATTGGACTCGGACTTAAAGTCTTTTCAGAAATTCAAACAATTCTATAGACATTATGAGAATTAATAACTGAGTATAGACCAACTAGACTTTTCATAGACTTTCTGGAAATAATGTATTTTGATAAACCCACTCTGAAAACTGGAAATATCCACTAGCGTTGATATTGACAGAGTTGAAAATGACAGAGACATTTCACTCCAAGGTATACATAACAAAAATATAATGAACATAAATCAAAAACAAGCACAAGAATGTTCATGGTGGCCCTAATTATAATAACCAAAATGAAAACAACCCAGCTCATTGACATTAAAAGCAGTAAGGAAACGTGGTGTATTCATTCAATGGGTTCCTACCAGTGACAAGTAAATGAATTACGCCTATGTAATTCGGATATATGAATTTTACAAAGATGGTTTCAAGGGAAAGAAAGGCGACACAAAATAGTACATACCATATCCTCCAATGTATTTAACATTCAAAATCAGCCAAAATTAACTTATGCTATTTTAAATCAAAATAGTGATAAAGGGAGTATCCAGGGTGCTAACAGAGTTCTAAATCTTGAGTAAGAAGCAGGCACTCAAGAAAAACACAGTGCTGTGAGTCATGCAAAGACTTGCTTCTCTCCCCAGCTTAATGGGTAATATTCTAGAACAAGTATAGCATCTATTGGTTATTTCTCCAGATAGAATGTGGTACAAAGAATCTGACAACAAAGGTTTTCACAGCTTCTGGCTATGTTAGCAATGTAAAGACATAGTGTACACTTTCTAAATTTTATAAACTTTTTTTTCCTGTTATGACACTGAAAGCATGTTTTTATTTAATTAAAAAACTGAGTGGCAGCCTATTTGTTGTACTGGATGTTTGGAAATAGCTCCCCTTTCTTTGCTGGTACAGAATTCCCTATTATTATCTTTCTGCTATGCTTTGGGTCATTCTAGCCAAGAATTGTTTTTAGCAGTAAGCAGCTAACTCAGAAGCAAAGAAAACCAGACACAAGGGATTATCTCCTTCAGGACTATAGTAGAATTATTATGCATGTGAATTATTTAAAAATTGAACAATTTTATGTGGCAAAAGGAAGTAGAGAGTTATAAAGAGAAGAAAGTAAAAGATGTCACTAATTATTAACAAGGCAATAAGTAAAAGCCTTCCATGAATAGATTTTTTTAATATTTTTTCCTTACACTAAATTTTCTTCCACTTCTGTTTCTTCCATCCTCTCCACATTGGTGGATTATTTATGGCTATTTCTGTTATATATTTCAAGAGAATGAGGTGACTGATTATATTTTCGCATATTTTCTTGGAATAAAATGCTGCAAAAAGAATTTATTTTTAAAAGTGGGACCTGTTACTATGACATCAAAAAAAATGACAACAGAAATACTTAATGGCGCCTTTGTTTGTAACAGTGATTACAATCATTTAAAACATCCTCTCCATATACATATACAAGCAACTGCTACTTTAAATGAAAGTAGATATTTCTAAGACACTCCAAAAACCACCTAATGTCACTGTTTTGGCTCATTATTTCCTAAAGAAATCCTGTCTATATCTCACAGATGACTACATGAAAGGAGTTGGATGTTTATATTCTTAGTCTGAGCTGCTAGCGCTGAAATGTTTCCTCCTACAATACCTCTTGATCTCAATCTCCCTAGTTACCTATTTTATGGCCAATTCCATCATTTCACTTCTGCATTATCTCACCCTTCAGACTTTGTGCAAGGCATGCTTCCCTTCCCCACATTGTGGCTCAGGAATCAGGCTGGTACTGCCTCCAGCAAGGGCTCTATCTCAGCCCAGTGAGACAGCACACTGGCCCTGTGGGCCAACTCCACCACATTGAATGCCCTGGATGGTCAGTGCATTTCTGGGGTTCATTCTATGCAATTCTACAAATATTTCCTGAGCACCTACTATGTGCCTAGCACTTTGTCAGGTACAGGAAAGAAAATGATTACTAAAACAGAGGAGCTCTTTCCCTTTGAATAGTCCAGAATTTCATGGAAAAGACAGAGCTTAACCAAGTAACTGCACAGATCTATGATTACAAACTGCTGTATGCTGGGATGAGGAAAGTCTTTGATACTATGCGGGCATGAGAGGCTTGGCCTGACCCAGTTTGCAAGGTCAGAAAAGATTCTAAGGAAGTGACATTCAGCCAAAATCTGAGGAACGAACATAAGAGAGGAATACCAGGCAAGAACTTGCATAGCAGGCTAAGGAGTTGTGTTCATAAAAGGAGAAGCCCTTTCTATTACTGAATCATTAATCAAATGGAAAGGAATAAGGGAAAACCCTGGCATTCCGATGATGCAAAAAATTAAAACTTATTTCAGTGCCAGAGCTGCTTCACTTCAAAGAAGAAAAATAATCTCCCATATCTTAAATTTTGTCGACAGTCTCTCTTGTGCCTCCAAAAATGAAATTGAAAAAAGGACCAAAAACTATTATCTGAGAATTAAGTGGCTTAAAATTCTATACAGGAAAATACAGATGACACAGAGAGAAGTTGCAAAGCTAGATGAGAATTTATATGGAGAAGAAAGTGTGCAAAATGCCACAATACAGAGACATGGGAAGCAGAAGAAATAGAAGAGAGGTAAATTTAAGATAAACGTGAAAAGACATCCATGAGGTGGTATCAATTTTGGTCTGAAATTCTCAAATATAGATACTCAAACATATGTCACAAATGATCCACATGTACAAAGGACTGTTAAATAAAAGCAAAACACCAGAATAGTATCTGAGTCTGTTTAGGTTGTTCATCTGTCTGACATCAGAATTGCCACCCCTGCTTGTTTTCAGGGTCTTAGTGTATATAATGTTGTTTTCCACACTTTAATTTTTAATCTGTGAATATTTTTTGGATTAGATGAGTTTCTTGAATGCAATACTGCTGGATTCTGTTTTTGATCCAGTCCAGTCTTTTAATTGGAGAGTTAAAGCTGTTAACATTGAAATGTGTTATTTGCTATCATTGTCTTCTTTATCTGTTGGTGAATTCTTGTTTTTTTCATAACTTTTCTGTTGCTGTTTATCTATTGACCTCACTAATTTCTCTGTATTTTTAGGTATGTCCATTTCATGATTTCTATTGAGAATATTCTTAAGTATTTTCTCAAAAGCTGGTTTAGCACTCACATATCTTTTGAGCTGGTATTTTCATGGAAATACTTTATTTCTCCATCTATTTTGAAGAATCGCTTTGCTGGGTAAGTTAATCTCAGATGGAAGTTATTTGCTCTTAGGGTTTGAAATACTTCACTTCAAGTTCTTTGGCCTTGTTGTTTTGAGAAGTCTACTCTCATTCTAATCGTTTACCTTTATGTGTGATTTTTTGTTTTTCTCTGGCTGCT